TCAATTTTCACCAATAAGGAATTTAGGCAGAAAGGGTGAGGAGCGGTTTCAAGCAAGGGAAACACCAAGAGCAAAGGTATGGAAGCTTGAGGTGGCACAATGTGTTCAGGGAAACGACAGCAGTTTGCTCCTAGACAGCATATTGCCCGATAGAAATCTAATGTGAGCCACAAATACAAGCTGCTAGTATAACTTAAACATTTCTAATAGCCACACTAAAATTAAAAATGTCTAGTAGCTGCACTAAAATTGAAAAACAGCTGAAATCAATTTTAAAGTATATCCAAAATGCTGCCATTTTGTCATGATACCAAGACAAAAATTACTAAGGAGGCATTTGACAGTCTTTTTTTCAAATAGCAAGTCTTCAAAACCCACTGTGTGTTTTAGACTGGTGGTACATCTCAATTTGGACTGGCCCTCATTCCAGTGCTCAGCAGCCACTGTGGCTGGTGGCTCCTGTATTGGACAGCACCATTCTAAAGCAACAAGTATGAGGTGGGGAGTGTGTAAACACAGCTCAGGAGGTAAGCAGGCAGTCAAACAAAATCCTACAAGTACTTCATTGTGGAAGTCATGGGAAGCAATGAGGGCTGCATCACTTTGAGAACTGGGTGAAGGATGGATTGCAAGAGAACAAAACTGGGGGGTGGATGGCTACAGGGTCCTGCTAGATTTGAGAAAGGGTGAAATTAGGGCCAATGGTAGTAGAACTGGGAAGACACAAATATTGGGGACAAAATGTCTGCAAGATTTTGGCGAATTCAATGTGAGAAAGAAGGTGTGAGGCATGAGTTGGAGATGTCTTCCTGGTTGCTGACTGGGATAACTGGAGAATATTAAGAACTAAAAGGTGGGAGCTACAGGAAGACAACCGAATGGCACACTCACATCATTCTCCCTTATATCACATGCGCTCCCGGTGCATGTAAGTTGGCTCTGGTGTGGGTCTTAACCAAGAGAGGAAGGCCTGGCATGAATGAACACCCAAGGTTGTTTCCATGAGTATTGCCAGAGCTTTGGATGTTCTCAATGTAGCCAAGACCTCTAGGAGACAAGGACTCTTCCCAAATATGGTATTCACATTTGAGTAAAAAGTGTAGAATAAGATGTTAAGCTTGGTTGGAAGGTATCGGTTCCCTTATCAAAAGGGTGGCATAACCTTGACATCCAGAAGCTTCTAGCTCTCCAGGTGGTCACAGTGTCAGTATTAGCAATCCAGTTCCAGGTCTGCAATGGAAGAGAGCACCTACATATGCAGCAGTGTTAAAACCAGTCATCCTCTGAAAACCTGCAGCTCTAGAACTTTTCAGCATCACCACAAGGTACGTTTTGTGAAATAAGCAAAAAGCTGCAGGATCAATTACACCCCGGCACCCCCAAGTCAAGCAATGCCCAAGGGGAGCTCCATCCAGCTATCCCCAGATAGGGCTATTGCAACTTTAAAGGGAGAATTCCTGAGCTATAGAAGCAAGTGGTCACATAGGATTTGAGGCAGCACTGAAGAGCATAGCACAGACGGATTCGTTACATGGGAAACTGATGTTTTAGAAAGATGTGAACTTAGAAAATTCTAAAGTAGGGATTGGATGGCATTCTTCATTATTCTTTTGACTGACAGCTCAAATCTTAGGGGGACAGTAAATACTTGGCATTGGGAACTCAGTGAATGTCAATGTGAGCTTGAAGTGAATGCTACTAGACCGATAAGTTGCTCAGCTGCGGGGTCAAGTGATGTGCACTTGCTGGGTGCAGGCTCAGGGTGAGCAGCAACGGGCAAGGCGAAGGGTGAGTTCCTCTCCCTATCTTTAGGCGCTCACTCAAAAAGCACATTAGAAAGTGAAGTTGGAGACCAGAAGGATGGAATATGGCTTGTGCTCAATCTGGGGAAATCCACCACTTCACAGGGATAGAAGCATTGTGGGTCAGTTTTCCAACGTGGCACACATATTTGTGCATCAAGGAATAGCAGAACCTTGGCTCCTCTGTGAGGGTTTCAAATAACTCATACCCCCAGATTTTATTTTGAGAAGACTTCACTCATTAAAATAAGAAAAGGGGAAATATTGAAGGAATTTCCTAGAGCAAAATTTTCAATGGAAGAAACATAAATAACGGTCTAGCACAGGAAAAATCTCTTCATCTTTCAGGGCTCCAGAGCAATACAATGTATTTATTCTCTTCTCAATCAAGAACCCTTGTCATTTGCTCTTTTACACAAATCCCCAGTGTTACTAAGGATACTAGAATGCCATGTGCCTCTCTGCCTGTGTGGACATACAGCACAGAACACAAGGAATCCACCAAGCCTAGCTTTCCCCATTTCTTTCTTTTTCATCCAAGATACACTTACCTATTGCTGACCTCATAAATGCTAAAAATAGTCATGTAGCTTCTCCCCGCAAACGCTGTTTGATGAAATCCATGAGGAGTTTGTGTCAACGTTTCAGACTCTGAAACATATCAGGGTTATTTTAAGTGGCAATGAACAAATCCCAAATTATATCCTAGAATTCAGACACTTATTCATCTTCATCCAAATATTTTGAGCTGAAATTCACATAAAATAAGATTATCCACCAGAAATTCTAATACTTCAGTGAAGGGGTTGGAGGAATAAAGGTGCTGACCTAAGTAACTTTAAAAACAAATGAAGTTTATGAAAAAAGAAAAGTAGGTTCACAGAGACCAGACAATGAAAAAATAATAATAAATGAAGTTTGTAGGTGTAAAGGCAAAATAAATTGTCCATAAGCACTTTACTTTGATTAATAACATTGTTTCCCATGGGGGCATGTGTTAACAATTCTGATACTGTATAGAGGTACACAGGAACTGAACAATGAAACAAATGCACGTCAGACAGTGGGAACCTGTTTCTCACTGTTGGAGGGGGAGGTTATAGGTAAGCAAAGGGACAAAGCTAGAATCATCCATGGGGTAATGGATGAAAGTGGAGACACCTGGATAAATAAACTCCTGTTTCATTAAATACATATGTATGAGATAGATAGAGAGATAAATAAATAGATACATGGATAAACAATTATGTATCGATAAGTGTATATATAGGGGTTACTATACACACACATATCTTCTTGCTCTGTAGGCTGAGAAGACCCAGAAGCAAAGGCACCACAATAGCAATAAGCACACCCGGCACCCAGATCTTGGCTTTTAGCACCATTGCCCAAGGAAAGGAATCAGAACTGATTGGAGAAACTGATTCAAAGACTGGAACAGGGAATATGAAAGGTACTGCCAGATGTATCCACTACACAAAGTTGGAATAAAGCTGAGCAACAAAATGAAATAATACTGGATCATGAGAGAGAAGAGACAAATATGTGCAAAATAATTCTAAATAATTTATGCAGTCATTTCAACCTGAAGGAGGTGAGCCTAACTCGCCACTCCTTAAATGTGGGCTGTACACAGTCACACCTCATTCCAAAGAGCATGAGAGGGGAGCAGGTAGCTTCACAGAGGAGACAGCTGACCAGCACTACCACAGCCAGGTGACCAAGGTCCACATCAGCAGTGATGAATCATGTTCATGGTATGTAACCTTCGTAAGATGTGATGGAAGTGGCAGTTTATCTCTATGCAGAAAATCCACAACACCAATCTAATCATGAGGAAAACATTTGACAAATCCCAATAGTAGGACATTCTACAAAATACCTGACCAGCTTTCTTCAAAGTTGCTAAGCTCATCAAAAACAAGCAAATTCTGAGGAATTGTCATGGCAAATGGGAGCCTAGGGAGACACAATAACTAAACATAATGTAGGTCCCAGGACAGAAAGAGCCCATAAGGTAAAAACAAGGAAATCTATATAGACTTTAGTTAATAGGAATGTGTCAATATTGGTTCATTAATTATAGTAAATGCACCATACAAATGTATGATGTTAATAATCAGGGAAATTGGGTATGGAGTATATTGGACCTCTCTGTACTATATTAGCAATTTTCTATACATGTAAAACTATTCTAAAGTTAAAAATTTACTTTTAAAAATAAGAAATGAAACAAGAAAAAGGGTGATTTTAAATGAACTTTCTAGACATGGTTCACATTTTGGGTAAAGCCTTCATCTGCTCTTATGGAACTTTTACCAACCTGCAACTGGATAAATTATAAAGAAAAGAGGTTTATTTAGCTTATGGTTCTGCAGGATGGGAAGTCCAAGATCAGGCAGCCAATCTGGTGAGGGCCCCATGCTACTTCAACTCATGGTGGAAGGCAGAAGAAAAAAGGTGTTTGTGAAAGAGACTAAACAGGAGAGGCAGCCTTGCCTTATAACTCACTCTCTCAGGAACAAATCCACTCCTGAGAGATGGCATCAATCAATTCATAAGGGATCTAGCCCCAGAACCCAAACACCTCCACTGGGCCCCACCTCTCTACTCCACTGCATTGAGGACCAAACCTCAATATGAATTTTGGTGGGGACAAACCATATTCAAACCATAGCAGTACACAAACACATGATCACATGCTAGGAAAGAAGATGCCCATCTTTACTTAGAATTCTCCAAAAAGTGGCAGGACCGTGACTGCTATGGGAGACAAGAGCAGTGATCATAGGGTGCAGAGTCCTGTACTCTGAGAGCAAAGGAGAGTGTTCTATGCTAGTTGTGTGGCAATACACATTCCAGCTGTATTTTTGTACATGCCTTCCTTATCACAAACCCAGGGCTAGTTTTTGTTCTCAAAAATATGCATGCAAAGCTATAAATATTTATTTGCACTGGGGAGAAAACTTCTGATATATGTTGTGTACTAATTTAAAAATATATCCACAATTCTTTGACACTCCATCCTGCAGGAAGTGGAATCTAATTCTGCTCTTTTTGAGGATGGCCTAGGCTTAGTGGCTCACTTTGAATGACCTGAATAAAGCAGATGTGACAGTGACTGACATCACAGACTGGGTCATAAAAGGTATGGTGTTCTCTGTCTTCTGGGTCACTCATTCTGGGGGAAGTTAATCCCCCTGTCTAGAAGTCACTGTGCAGCCCATGGAAAGGAACTGAGACCTCCAGCTGTCAGCTGCATGAGTGAGCCTTCTGGGAAGCAGCCCCTGGCCTCAGGAAAGCCTTCAGAAGGTACAGGCCCTGCTGACACCTTGCCTGCAGCCTCATGAGGGGGTTCCTGAGCCAGAGCCTCCCACCCAAGACACTCGTGAATTCCTTACCCTTAGACACTGTGAGATCATCCATTTTTCTTGTTTTAAACCAGCACCTTTTGGGGCCATTTGTTAGGCAGCAATGGATGACTAATACATGATGCTACAGGCATGGAGCATGTGAACTTAGAAGGGGATGGATCAGAGATTGCTTGAGTCTGTAGAAAGACTGAAGTAATCCCCATTCTGACTAAAGATAATTCGGACAGCAGAGTAAGTGAAGCAGAATTGGTCAGGTATAGTGTCTAAAAATTTGGAAGGAAAAATGGTAGCTTTCATAACTCAAAGCAAATTAGTATCTACAAAATATATATCAGGATTTTATTGAAGCATATAACAAATGTTTAAAAAATAACCCTGTGAGAAAACTGAATAAATGAAAACTGAATAATTGGTGACGGTAGTATATTTGACAATCTTATGAAACAATCTGGATAGATAAGAATAATGTAGGAAATGAGAATGCTTAAGTTTAACAAGAACAGATGAGACTTCTGCATTGGGGTTTCTTAAAAAAACAACTAATTTTTTTTTTTTGAGACGCAGTCTCACTCTGTCGCCCAGGCTGGAGTGCAGTGGTGCGGTCTCGGCTCAATGCAAGCTCCGCCTCCCGGGTTCACGCCATTCTCCTGCCTCAGTCTCCTGAGTAGCTGGGACTACAGGCGCCCGCCACCAAGCCTGGCTAATTTTTTGTATTTTTAGTAAAGGCGGGGTTTCACCATGTTAGCCAGGATGATCTCGATTTCCTGACCTCGTGATCCACCTGCCTCGGCCTCCCAAAGTGCTGGGATTACAGACATGAGCCACTGTGCTTGGCCTAAAAAAACCAACTATCTAAATGGAAGTTTGGGAAACCAGGTTGTTTGCCAGAAGTTCATGAGGAAAAATCCATCGATATGAGCCACTCTCTGATGGAGCTGTCCGGAGGGCTACCATGAAACCTTTTGCAGAAACAGCAGAAAGCGGGGGGCGGCGGTGAGACCCACTGAACTCTGAGAGGATCAAAACTCAGCCCTAGGACTTGCCCATTTCGAACTCTCGAGTCACTGCCCCAAGGCTCCAAGATGTCAGGCAGGACTGCGAGGCAGGGAACCAGCCCCGAGAGAATCTTGGCCCTGGAGCTGTGAGGAACCGTGAAAGGAACAGAAGAGGTGTCATGTGGAAGCGAGTCCCAAGGCAGGTTGGTGAGATGGCCTTCACTGCCTCAACGGAGCAGACAGGTCTGTGCAGTTTTGCTCTTTACAAATGGAACCTGGAGCAACGAATAACACTGGAGTAAAGAGCTTTATTTGAATAGGGAACTATCCAACAGTGAAATCAACTGCCTTGAAAAGTCAGGAGTGGTGAGCAAGGCCTGTGCGACAGGTAGGGGAGCCAGCCAGACTGCCCTGCAGCTCAGATGGGCACTGAGCCTGTGAAAAATGGGGATGCAGACCGGGGGCCATGGCTCACGCCTGTAATCCCACCACTTTGGGAGGCCAAGGCGGGCAGATTACAAGGTCAGGAGTTCAAGACCAACCTGGCCAACATGGTGAAACCCTGTCTCTACTAAAAATACAAAAATTAGCCAGGCGTGTCCGTGTGTGCCTGTAATCCCACCTACTCAGGAGGCTGAGGCAGAAGAATCGCTTGAACCCAGGAGGCAGAGGTTGCAGCGAGCCAAGATCCCACCACTGCACTCTAGCCTAGGAGACAGAGCAAGACTCCATCTCAAAAAAAAAAAAGAAAAAGACAATAACACATTCATCTGTACGATGGGATTCCTACTATAGGTACGACTAATAGTACATCATGATTGTTTGAAGAGAATTAAATGCAATGAGGCAGAGAAAGTGCTGCCTGAGATGAAATACGCTCCTTTTGTCAACACATCTTAGTGTCCCATTGCTAGAAATCTTCAAGTCAGAGGCCGGCTGATAATTCTGAAGAAGAATGACAACATTCAGCAGGAGTTTGGACTACACCAGTGGTTCATAACCTTGGCTGCACATTAGAGTCATCTGGCTGCTTTAACATTTTTCTCTACTCAGGCCAGACCTCTGTCTAATCAAATCAGAGTCTCCCGGTGGCAAGGTGAAATCTTGGAACCATGTGGCATGAAATGGTTAAAGGTATGAGGTCACAGCTGGGATTGGGCAGTGTTCGTATTTTATCCCATCTTTCCATGGGATTCTGACGTGCAGCCAAACGTACCAACTCTGGACTACAAGGAGTCCATGGTCCCTCTCAGCTCTGTGCTTCTATAATTCTGTATCTGGATTCCATGGAGCTGTTCATTGGTACTCCTGCTTTCTCAGGGGCATCTTATAGAGGCAATGGACTTTATCCAGTTCCCTGGCTCTCCATTTGTGAATTGCAAGTTCAAGGCATCCAGCCTCTCTGCACTGTGTCCTCCACTATAAGACAGGAACAGTAATGCTGACTGCCTACAATAATGATGAGGAGTGAATAGAAGAATTCATGTGAAGTGCTTTGCATGTCTTCCACACAGAGGGAGTTAATAAATACGTGCTACTGTTATTAATGCAGGTATTAAAGGGCAGACTCTACATAAGTGGCCTGTTTAAAGAGCACCTAAACTAGTGCAATTCATAAAGAAATTTAATATAAATATAGTATCATAACAATTCAAAAAAATTTTTACAATGCACAAACATGTTAGCTTAGTTTTCAAAACTTTTGTAAGAAACAATACATATGGTCATTTTTAAAAGACTATGGAAGTTTCGTGGTGTTTTCTATAATTATTAACCAGATTCAACTTTGCTATGTAATTAGAATGACTCTTCTTGGGTTATTTGAAATTCCAAAAGAATATTTTTGAAAACTGACAAGGTAACTTTTAAATCTAAGAAACTTCACACATCCAATCCACAAATGTTAAAAGAATGGGATTAAGATAAGAACAATACCAAAAGCACTGTTAATGAAAGAAAAAATTTAAAATTAAAAACTTTCCACCTATGAAAAACACTAATATAGGATGAAAAGACAAACCATAGATTGAAAGAAAATGTTTACAAGTCATGTATCTTTTTTTTTTTTTTTTTTGATATGGAGTCTCACTCTGTCACCCAGACTGTATCTCAGCTCACTGCAACCTCCACCTCCCAGGTTCAAGCAATTCTCCTGGCTCGGCCTCCTGAGTAGCTGGGATTACAGGTGTGCACCACCATGCCTAGATAATTTTTGTACTTTTAGTAAAAACGATGTTTCACCATGTTGGCCAAGCTGGTCTTGAACTCCTCACCTCAAGCGATCTGCCCACCTCAGCCTCCCAAAGTGCTGGGATTACAGGCGTGAGCCACTTCACCTGGCCCACAAATCATATATCTGATAAGAAACATATCCAGAGTTTATAAAGAACTCTTAAAACTCAACAATAAAAAATAACACTAAAAAGAGGGGCAAATTTCAACAATGATGTATAGATGGTAAACAGCATGTAGACCCCAATTATCATAAAAATGCAAATTAATATTATAATGAATTACTACTATATACCTATTGAAAGGTGAATATCTTAAAACCAAGTAATACTAAATGTTATCTAGAAGGCAAGTCAAAAATAATTCCTATTCACTGCTGGTGGGAAAGCAAAATGTCTTCCAATGTGGAAGATAGTTTGGCAGTTTCTTATAAACAGACATACCATAAAACCCAGCAATCCACTCGTAGGTGTTTACCCAAGCATATTAAAGAGGCACGTTCACAAGAAACCCTGTACACAAATGTTTATAGAAGCATTCTTCATAACTGCCAAGGCTAGAAGCAACCAATATTGGATAAACAGCTTTGCTAGTTTCATATAATGGAATATTATTCAGCAATACAAAGAAATAAAGCCACAAAAAGACACAGAGAAAGTGTAAATGCATACTGCTAAGTACCAGAGGCCAGTCAGAAAAGGCCCCATACCAATAATTGCAATTATAGGATGTTCTGAAAATGGCAAAACTACAGAGACACTAAAAGGATCAAAGGGTACCAGAAATTTTGGGGAAGTGCGGAAAGTTTAATAGGTGGAGCATAGGGGTTTTAAGAGTTTAAACTAATCTGTATGATCCTATAATTGTGGATACAGAGTGCTATTTGTCAAAACACATAGAACTTTATGGCACATAGAATGAATCTTAATGGATGCTAATTTAAAACTAAAATTGTTCAGGAGGTCGAGGTACCCCAGGATGGAATGCAGTATGTGACAAAAGAATCTAGCTGTATTAACAAACAACCTCCCCAAAGGGATTAGGGTGGAAAAGTGCTGGCCTAAGCAACTCTAGGAATGAGCAGGGTCTATAAGACTACAGACAAAAGAAACTGTCCGTAAGCACTCTACTTTAGTTGATAAAGCTGTTTCCCATGGGGGTACCGGTTAACAATTCTGATACTGTTATAGATGAACACTGGAAATGAACAACTAATGGATGGCAGACGGTGGGAGCCTGCTTCCTGCTTCTTACTGTTGAAGGGGGAGGTTAGAGATCAGCGAAAGGAAAAAGCTAGAATTCCTCAGGGGGTAATGGATGAGAGACATCAGTATAAATTAGATACAGCTAGTTTTATATATAATTATTTACAGATAAGTGTATATACCAGAGTTACTATGCACACACATACCTCCACACTCTGTAGGCTGAGAAGACCCAGAAACAAATGCACCCCAGCCAGGAGCACCAGCATGGTTTTCAACACCATTCTCCAGTGAGAAGAACCAGGGCACACTGGAGAATTGGCTGAGTCCAGGCCTGGGATAGAAAATACGTAATATGAGCCAGGAGCATCTTGTAGTGCCAGAAAGTAAGAAAGTGCTAAAAAAAAAAATGTTTTTTAATTGATGTGGATATGTGAAAGAGACACAAGAGCCAAATGAAATAGCTCCCGTTGGACGAAGCTGGAACAATTCAGGCACCAAAATTAAGTCGTGTTGAACCATAACTCAAAGTATAAAATAAATGTCCATTAGTCCATATTCACATAACTAAATAAATGCCTGAATAAATAAATAAATAAATAAATAGTTGGGAAGAAGAGACACATCTCCTGTGCAGAAGAATTCCAAATAATTTATGTAGACATTTCACCCTGAAGGGGGTGAGCCTAACTCCCCACTCCTTAAGTGTGGGCGTGCAGTCACCTCCTTTCAAGGAGCACAGGATGGGAGGGGGTGACTTCACAGAGAAGACACCTGAGCACCACAACTACAGCCAGGTGACCAAGGTTCACATCAGCAGTGATGAGTCATGTTCATAATACGTAACCTTGATACGACGTGATGGAAATGGCGGTTTATCTCTGTGGAGAAAACCCACAACACCAGTCTAATCATGAGAAAAACATTTGACAAACCCAACAGCTGGACATTCTACAAAATACCTGACCAGCATTCCTCAAAGTTGCTAAGCTCATCAAAAACAAGCTAAGTCTGAGAAATCGTCACTGCCATGAGGGGCTATGTCAACTAAATGTAATATGGTATCCTAGATGGGAGGCTGGGACAGAAATAATGCAAAAAGGTGAAAACAAGAAAACTTGAAATAGGTATTGGCTTTGTGAATGTTTGTATACCCCAGAGATTCATATGCTGAAAGCTAAATCCTGATGTGATGATATTAAGAGATAAAGCCTTTGGGAGGTGACCAGGTCATAAAGGTGCAGCCCTTATGAATGGGATGAAGCCCCAGAGAACTGCCTCACCCCTTTCACCACATAAGGACACACAGAGAAGATGCCACCTGTGAGACAGGAAACAAGACCTCACCAGACACTGATTATGCTGGCACCTTGATCTTGGATTTTCCAGCCTCCAGAACTGTGAGAAATAAATGCCTGCTGTTTTCCCTTACCTAGTCTATGGTGTTTTGTTATAGCTGCTCAAATGTACTAAGATCATTAATTGTCATTAATTAATCACAAATGCACCATACTAATATAAGATGTTAATAACAAGGAGAACTGCATAAGGACTATACGATAACTCTCTGTACAATTTCCAGTTTTTCTGTACATATAAAACTCTTATTTTATTTAAAAGTTAAAACTGTATATACACTATACTGTAGTGGCTAAATCTGTTTTAACAATTCAGAAAGTACTTTATGTCTATACTAGGATTGAAAAATGAACAAATGGCAGACAATAGGGGTCTGGTTTCTCATTGTCACAACACAAGTTATTTTTAAAAAGCAAGAGAGGAAATCTAGAATTAACCCTGGACTACTGGATTAGTATATATCAGTATAAATTTAACACTTAGTTTATCATTATATAGAGAGAGATATACATGAATACAGAAGTAATTATAAATACATGTGTACACATGGGTTAATAGCCACTCATGTATTTCCTAGTTCTGTCTGTTGGGGAAGGCCTAGACAGAATGACACCCTAGTAGCAATGAGTACAACTATGGCCAGATCTTGGTTTCTACATAACATCCTCCAATAAAAGAAATAAGGGCTCCTTGGAGAAATGGCTAATCCTAGGCCTAGGGCAGGGGATACACAAGATGACCTTCAGCATCTTATAATGCCAGAAATCAAGGAAGTGCTCACAAAACAAATAAATGAAGGCATGCCAAAGGGACCAGGAACCAACCTGAGAGTGCTGCCCGTGGACAAAGCTGGAAGAATCCAAACATCAAAACACAAAATATAGCATTGGATTATAGCTTAAGGAATAAAATAAATATCCACGAGTCCATACTGATTGAAATAAATCATTGAGTAAATAAATAAATGGGAAAGAAGAAACAAATTGCCCTTCCAGAAGCATTCCAAATAATCTGTGCGGATTCCCACCCAGAAGCGGGGCTCAGTTCCCCTCCCTCAGTGTGAGTGGGACCAGGTGACTCACTTCCAAAGAACAGGGTGTGGGAAGGGAAAGGCGGTGACTTTGCGGTGAGGATTCCTGGCGGCCAGCACCTTAGCCAAGTGATCAAGGTTAACATCAGTGATGTCATATTCACACCATGTACCTCTGATAGGAGCAGGGCACATTCCCTCTGTGGTATTCTTTCCACAAACCTGTAACCTCAGTCTAATCACAAGAAAACATCAGACAAACCCAAGCTGAGGAACATTCTACCGGTTCATATGACCACTACTCTTCAAAACTGCCAAGGCCATGAAAAAAACAGAGAAAGCCTGAGCGACTGTCTCAGAGGGGACTCCAGAGACACAACTCACTGTCACGTGGCATCTTCAGTGGGATCCTTGGACAGAAGAAGGCATCCGTGGAAAAGCTTGTGAAATTTGAATAAAGTCTGGAGCTTGGTTAAGAGTAATCTACCAATGTTAATCTCTTAATTTTGACAAATATAGCACAGTTATGTAAGATATTAATACATGAGACAATGGGGTGAAGGGTAGACAGCAACTTCTTGTACTTGTAGCTTATCTAAAAATCCAAGTTAGGTCACATTTGTAATCCCAGCACTTTGGGAGGCCAAGGTGGGAGGATCACCTGAGGTCAGGAGTTCGAGACCAGCCTGACCAACATGGTGAAACCCCACCTCTACTAAAAATACAAAAATTATCCAGGTACGGTGGTGGGCGCCTGTAATCCCAGCTACTCGGAAGGCTGAGGAGAGAGAATCGCTTGAACCCAGAAGGCGGAGTTTGCAGTAAGCCAATATTACACCATTGCACTCCAGCCTGGGTGAAAGAGGGAGACTCCGTCTCAAAAAACAAACAAACAAACAAACGAAAAACAAAGTTACTCCAAAATAAAAACTTCATTAAAAATAAAAATCAAACATTATTTTACTCTCTTCTTTTACAGGGTTACAGTGTAATTTGTCAAGACTGTGAAGCCGCAATGTGATCTTATTTTTGTGGCGCATATACTCTTAATAATTGCAATATGTATCCTAAGTATCCAACGTATTAGACAGGATGCATGTGTCCGTCAGGAAGTGCTTGGAGGCACAGTGGCCCTCAAGCCTGGAGTCATCCTTGGCCCACAGTGAGGCTCAGGCCTGTGCCGCAGGTACTCACCGAATGAACTGAAAACTGCTCTGGGGGCATTGGTTTGGGGACAGCTGAACTGGGAGATCCTTGTGGAATAGAGGTTGCTTCCCAAAGATCCCAGAAAAATAGTACACTGGACCTAGGCCAGAATGATCCGGGGGCTCCTGGAGCCTTTTCCAACATAGCAGACTTCCTAGACAGCAGCTGAAGTGTGGGGCAGGAAGCGGCACACCAGGACGACCCTGGGCCCCTCCACCCCATCCCTGCCTGTGCACCCCAGGCCCTGGAAGCCGGGGTGAGCTCCTGAGCTTGACAGCCCAGGCAGTGGCCAGGCCCTTGGGAGCCCCTGGGCTTCCCAAGGCAGGAGAGGACAAACAGGCCACCATCTCTTATAACTTCACCTCTTCACTCCTCAGAAGTTGGAATGTGTCACACCGGATAACATCTTAGAATCAATAGTATTGCTGTAAATTACATTCCAGAAAGATGATTAATAAAGCTGACTAAAGTCTGGCCAGGCACGGTGGCTCACGCCTTTAATCCCAGCACTTTGGGAGGCCAAGGCGGGCAGATTACAAGGTCAGGAGATTGAGACCATCCTGGCTAACACGGTGAAACCCCGTCTCTACTAAACATACAAAAACTTAGCCAGGCATGGTGGTGGTGGGCACCTGTAATCCCAGGTACTCGGGAGGCTGAGGCAGGAGAATGGTGTGAACCCAGGAGGCAGAGGTTGCAGTGAGCCGAGATAGCACGGCTGTACTCCTGCCTGGGCAAAAGAGCGAGACTCTGTCTCAAAAAATAAAATAAAATAAAAAATAAGTAAAGTTGACTAAAGTCTGTGGGAAGGGGGAGGAGAAACGCACATATCCTAGTGACTGTCCGGGACCGGGAGAAGAGAATCTGCAGCGCCTGCTGTGGGATCCAGAGGCTGGGAGTGAGGAGGATGAGAACCCCAGCCGATCAGCGTGCACAGGGGCAAACTGGGCAGCTGCCCTGAGCCTGGGTCTGTGACGCCCTCTTTGTCTTTCCTTCACCCCTTATGGTGTCCCAGGTCCTCACACACAGACACCAATGCCCTCTGGACACGACCTGCAATTCCAAAGCCTGCGTGACCCCTCAACAAGGCCCCTTCTTCCTCAGATACCCCACAGCCCAGCTTATTGTAGCCACTGACTCTCCTCCTTCTCTCTCTCTCTCTCTCTCACACACACACACATACACACTCGCAGACACACACCTCTCACACTCACATGCTTACACACTCACTTGCAAAAGAGCACACACAAAAACACGCTCATTTGCACACACCTCACACACATGCTTACACACAAACACGCACTACATACACCACACACTTTCAGTCACTTGCAGACACACCTCTCATGCTCACACTTGTACAACCTATCACACACAGATACACTCACACACTTATACACATTTACACACATCACACATACCAACACGCTTACTTGCACTTACACACCTCTCACACTCACATGTTCACACACTTGCACACATCTCAGACACATATTACACACACCACACTCACAGTCACTTGAACATGCTCACACACTTGCATACACTTCATTCTCATACACTCAGCCAATTCACACACATCTCACTCACACATTCATACACTCTTACATACATAAACATACACCACACACATAAACACATCCTTATACACATAGACACATGCATGTTCACACACACCACATGCTCACAGTCTCACACTCATACAAGTGTTCACATGCACAATGCTCACACACATACATATTCATACATGAATACACACACATCTACACACATGAATACCCACACTCACAACTCTCACACATACAGTTGGCGCCCAGCTCCCAGCTAAGGTTGTTCTACTGGGGACCAGCACTAGGAATCCCTGAGGTTTATTGCTGACAAAGCTCTGAAATAAAATCCCCGGCCCCGAAAGGATGCTGGGGACACCAGAGGTTTCCTAGGCTCTTTGAATCAGGTCCTCTCTGCTCCAAGGGGAGGGAGAGAGAGGGTCTGGCTGGAGGTGGGAGGCCAGTACTGCCCAGTCTCCCATCCTTCCCACCCCTCCACCCCCACCCCAGCACTCCACAGAGGCGCCTTTGGAGAGGCACACAGACCCCTGTCCTGAGAGATGGCCCTGGGACGTGTGGGCTGTGGGTCCCTCAGCCAAGGGAAATGGGGTCCCCTGAGCTAGTTCTTTAGCGGCCTTGGGGCTCTGAGCTGTGCCGGTCCCCCAGGAGACAACTGTTATGGTAGTGCCCCACCCAGCCTGCAGTGAGTCCACGGGGGCATGGGCCTCAGGGGCCGTTCATCAAAGCTAAGCTCTCCACAAAGATGCAGTGAGCATTTGCTGCAAGCCAGGTGCCACCTCAGGGCCTGGGTGTGTACTAACTCCCCTCAGCTCATACGCACAGATGTGATTTGGCGAAAAGGACAGGAAGGCATCAAAGACTACCCAGAGCCATGCCTGACACTGACAGCCACCGAACAGGGCTGGAAAGCCCAGAGCAGGTGCTGCCTTCAGGTTACAGCTCAGAGAGCCCTCTGCAGTGGCTGGCTTTAGGGTGCTGAAGGACCTAGGCATGGGGAGTGAAGGCAGGCGCGTCCTGGGCCGGGAAAGCAGCCAGGCCCACGAAGGGACCAGCTTGTGCTCCAGGAAGAGGAAGACTAGTTATGATCAGGCAGGAAGACGCGGGCAGATCAGAGCTTGATACGCCAGGACAGGGCAGAAGGACCACGCTGATGTTATCAGGACGCTGGGGGTTCCTGTGCAGCAGGGCGGTCATCTGATGACAACTTCAAAAGATCCTCCAGGCAGCTGCGTGGGGACTCTGTAGTGGAAGGCCAGGGGCACAGGGAAGCCACGTGGGGGCCTGTTGCCGGCCTGGGCTGGACAGGATGAGGGGGTTGAGGGCAGCGGGGCTGGGAGGAGGATGCCCGGGTGCACTTGGAGGGAGAGGAAGTGGGGCTCGTCAGCAGGCTGGGTGTGTGGGAGTGGGGACGGAAGGAATCGCGGAAGCCCCATTGTTTTCACTCAAGTGAACTGAGTGGGTGGTGGTCTCATTTCCTGAAATGAGAATTCTGGGGGTGGGGGAAGGAGAGGGGATGGTGATGAAAACTTAGCTTGTATCCATGTTAACTTTGAAATTCCCATTGGATACCCCAGTGGGCATGGCAAGAAGACAGGTGGAATTGTTGCGGGGTTGGAGGGAGTGGGCTCTGAGTCCGGCCAAGGATGGACAAAATGATTGAAAAGTCCTTGGTATACAAATGGAATTTCAAACCAGACCCTGGATGAGATCTCCTGGGTGCAAGCTTCATGTGGAGGATACAGGGGCCCAGGCTGAGGTTGGTGTGCAGGGCGAGAGGACAAAATGAGGCTGGGAGAGAAAGTGGTAAGACAGGGGCAACGCTCAGAGGGCGATGAGGTGAGACACAAGCGCAGAGACTTCCCAGAGCCCAGCTCAGCATAGAGTAGGGTGCACCCAGGGCTTCCCACGGCCCAGGCCACCTGCGCCAGAGGACCCTGATCCAAGTCCCTCCAGTCACACTATTCCCTTCCCAGGTTTTTTCATCAAACCAAGAAATCTCTCCACATGCAAGGCAAGACTGCACTTTCTTTGGAAACGTCTTCCCCGCTGTTGCACCGACTAATGCAACTCGCCGGGCTACAGCTCTGCGTGACTTTCTAGCAAAATACAGACTTGAGCTCCAATTGCTCAGGAGGTGTGCCAGGTATTCTGACAAAGCCTCCATCTCCCTGTCCCCACCCTCTATCCCCTCTGGACTGTAAAGTGGGTCATCACCTTACAGCATTGCTCTCCATGAAGTCTGTGGAAGCCCCCAAGGAAGGACCCTCTCCCCTTCTGAAGGCACATTTGCATCACAGCGAGTCATGAACATTAGTTCATTCAACTCGCCAACTTTAATGAGCTCAACGCGCAGCAGGGGTGTAACATTTTTGGAGAGTGAATTGACTTAAACTGTCAGCTTCCGGCCTGCGTGACATCACCAGTTCTTAGCAGAGGAGCCCATGGCTCTAAGGCTTCCCGGGATGCTCTTTAGGATGCTTCTGAGGCCCTCAAGCTGGGCAGGACACAGTGAATTGATGCTCATAGATGCATTTTCTGCAAAGAGAGTGCAGAGTTTTATTGGAATTATCAGTGATAGATGAGCTTTTTTTTCTTCTGTTGCATTATTGGATTCTAACCTTATTCAACTCTGAACAACTCCAGGGAAAGGGCTGTTGCCTTCACCTCCTGTAGCTGATTTGAATAGATACATGGCACATTTCTCCTAGAATCTGGCTCCCCCCAAGTCCTTCTTCCTAGTGCTGAGTTCTGGATTCCTGCGTGGCTTTGGTCTGGGGTCCCTGTGTCCCTATTCCTCTAGCCCACACTCCAAGTGATGCAAACACTTCACTAGGAACTAGCTCCAAATAGCTACCTCAAGCCTTTCCCTGTCCTGGAGGTTTGGAGCCCAAGAAGTCTGCATCCTAGGTACCAAGGTGGGTCTGCAAAAACAGGAGGCCCCCAAAATGACATTCCTAACAAAACCCTATTCAAAATTGCTGGGCCTTTTAAACTGTTTTTTTATACAGCCTGGTGGTACCTGTTGCATCCACAAACATTTGTGGAGCACCTGCCAGATATCTCCTCTAGACTCCACATGCTATTGTGAACAAAACAGACAAACATCTCCACCCTAATGGAATTTACTTTTTTTTTTTGGAGACAGAGTCTCCCTCTGTCGCCCAAGCTGGAGCGCAGTGGCGAGATCTCGGCTGACTGCAAGCTCCACCTCCCGGGTTCACGCCATTCTCCTGCCTCAGCATCCCAAGTAGCTGGGACTATTGGCGCCCGCCACCGCGCCCAGCTAATTTTTTGTATTTTTAGTAGAGGCAGGGTTTCACCGTGTTAGTCAGGATGGTCTTGATCTCCTGACCTTGTGATCTGCCCACCTCGGCCTCCCAGAGTGCTGGGATTACAGGCGTGAGCCACCGGGCCCCTCTCGGAATTTACCTTCTAATGGAGCAGACAATAAACACAATTAAGTAAGGAACTATCTATAGTATGTTAACTAGTGATAAGTGCCATGGAGAAATTGAAATAGAAAATGACCATGGTAATAAAGAGCATCATCACAAACACTTGAACAGCACATGCCACACACCAGACTAGCCTCAATATTCTCTGTGGCCCAGCACAGTGGCTCACACTTGTAATCCTAACACTTTGGGAGGCTGCGGCAAGAGGATCACTTGAGTCCAGGAGTGCGAAACCAGCCTGGGCAAGATGGCAAGACCCGGTCTCTACTAAAACTTAAAAATTAGCCAGGCGGCCAGGCGCGGAGGCTCACGCATGTAATCCCAGCACTTTGGGAGGCCGAGGTGGGCGGATCACGAGGTCAGGAGATTGAGACCATCCTGGTTAACACGGTGAAACCCCAACTCTACTAAAAAATACAAAAAAATTAGCAGGGCATGGTGGCGGGTACCTGTAGTC